ACTGGTGACTAAAGCTCTTGAACATGCTTTCAAGTTAGAGCATATCATGGACCTCACTCGCTTGCGCTGTCTTGGTTCATTGTTCTCTATGTTGCATCAGGCTTGCCGCAATGTAGACCAGTACAATGCAAACCATCCCGACTTCCCTATGCAGATAGATCAACTGGAGCGTTATATCCAGGTAAAGTAAATACTGCAGTAAAGTGATCTGAAAGCCTAAAGATGAACACAGTTACCAGGCTCTCCTTGTATTTTCTTCAGCTGTCCTTCGAACACAAATAATACTTTTTTGCATTTGTGTGGACTAATCTTTCTCTTGTCTTCCATCAGAGATACCTGGTCTATGCAATACTGTGGTCACTCTCTGGAGATAGTCGTCTGAAAATGAGAACAGAGCTGGGAGAATACATTAGGAGAATCACCACTGTACCATTGCCCACAGCACCCAACATACCCATAACTGATTATGAGGTAACAGCCTCTTGTACTTCGTATAGGTTAAAAACCTAATTCCTAAGGAAACAAAACCAGAATGACACTATTTCTAAATTAACCTCTCTCAATGGGATTAAATCAGTATCTCACAAGTTAGCTCAAGGCAAGCCACTCTACATTTGATTTTTTGTTTGTTTGTTTGTTTGTTCAGTTGGTACATAATGTACTGTGTAGTCCAAGCTTCTTCTAAACTAGTCCCACAGCATCAAATTTGCAGGTGTTAAAAGCTTAACTGATTTAACAGATTAAAGCATGAAGTTGTGTAAAATAAGCTGGGGTTGTGATGAGAACCCCATTGGAACCCATTTCTCTACTAAATTTATACATTAACTATATTTCTGTTCACCTAGGTGTCGATTACAGGTGAGTGGGTCCCATGGCAGTCCAAGGTTCCTCAGATTGAAGTTGAGACACACAAGGTTGCTGCTCCTGATGTTGTAGTACCAACCCTAGATACCGTCCGCCATGAAGCTTTGCTGTATACTTGGCTAGCGGAACACAAACCCCTGGTGCTCTGTGGCCCACCAGGTTCTGGAAAGACTATGACCCTTTTCAGTGCTCTCAGAGCCCTCCCTGATATGGAGGTAACTATTCTGTTTATATGTACGTTATTGAATAATTGCAAATGTATAACAAGTAAAAGCTGCCTACAAGGTTACTCTAATGATTACTGCAACACCTCTCTACTTACATGGTAAAAACTTCATTGTATCAGAGCTCTTTGCTCAGCTAAATGAATGTATCCTAACTGTTACTACCTCATAGAGTGTTATAAGATCTGTAAAATGGGAGTGGAAACTGAAGCAGAAATTAGTGTCTTGCCCATAGTCACCAGGAAGATCTAGACTCTTCCTAACTCCAGGAGTCCCTTCATGTCAAGGCCATCTATTGTTCCTTTCTAACTAGCACCAGTAGTACTGGCTTTTTTTTTTTTTTCACTTGTTTAGTATTAAATCAAAAGTATTTCGAGTTCAGGTGGCTGTTCCGTCTAGGTATGAGTGTTTAAACCAGTTAACAGTGTTGAGAGACGGTATGTATTCTAACAAGTGGGTACAACTGGCAGATAACAGACTTTGATGACAGTCTATAAGGAATTTTACATATCTGTAGTGATCCAAATACTTGTGTAAACAGCATCCAGTGATCAGTATCTAGTCAACCTACAGCATATATTTTCAATCTGAAGGCCAAGTTGTAACATATATTTGTTACTGAGGAATGATAATCTACTGAAACTTGGTTCTAAGACTTTAAACTATTAAAATGTATCAAATGTCTTCATGGATTTACCTCTTTCACCCTTGGTTTTTGTTTTTTTTTTTTTTTAAGGTGGTTGGACTTAACTTCTCTAGTGCTACTACCCCAGAGCTACTTTTGAAAACTTTTGATCATTACTGTGAGTACAGGCGTACACCTAATGGAGTGGTGCTGGCTCCTGTGCAGCTAGGAAAGTGGCTGGTGCTGTTCTGTGATGAAATCAACTTGCCAGATATGGATAAGTATGGCACGCAGAGAGTCATATCCTTCATTAGACAGGTTTGTTTTGTTGTGAAACTAAGGATTATACTATTATATTATTATGGGAACTTTCTTGTATTAAAACAATTCCCTCATTCAGATGGTGGAACATGGAGGTTTCTACCGTACATCGGATCAGACCTGGGTGAAATTAGAGAGGATTCAGTTTGTTGGAGCTTGTAACCCACCTACCGATCCTGGAAGGAAACCACTTTCACATAGGTAAATACTATTCTGAAGCTACTAAAACTATAGTCCTGATCTGCAAAATGGAGTATCTGATGCCTTTACATTCTAATACTGGAATCCATTTGTAGCCTTAAATATTGGTTTAAAAATACCTTGCATCCAAATGAGCTGCTCATTAATGGTCTAGCAAGCTCCTGTTGATCTTCAATAAGTCTTGGAGCACGGGAAGTTCCGAAGACTGGAAGAAAGCTGCTAAAATGCCAGTTTTAAAAAAGGGTAAATGGGATGACCTAGATCCCAGCCAAAATAATGGCGTGGCTGATACAGGACTTGATTGCCCTCTTTTAGTTAACAATGTAACTAATACAAATCAACATGGGTTAATGGAAAATAGATCCTGTCAAACTAACTTTGTTGTTTTTGATGAGATTGCAAGTTTAGCTGATAAAGGTAATAGTGTTGACATAATATACTCACTTAGGTAAGGCATTTGACCTGGTACTGTATGGCAATTTGGTTTAAAAACAAAAACAAACTAGAATGATATAAAAGTAACATGGCACCCATTAAATGGATTAAAAACTGGCTAGCTGATAAGTCTCAAAATGTAACTATTAACGGGGAGCCATTATTGAGTGGGCTTGTTTCCATTAGGGTTGCACAGGGATTGGTTCTTGGCCATATGATATTTAACATCTTTATCAGTTACCTGGAAGAGAACAAAATAATCACTGTTTGCAGAGGACCCAAAAATGGGAGGATGGTAAATAATGACGAGAACAGGTCACTGATTCACAGCAATCGGTGTCACTTGGTAAACTGGGCGCAAGCAGTTAATATGCATTTTAATAAAGCTAAATATAAATGTATACATCTAGGAACAAAGAAGGTTGGCCATACTTACAGGTTGGGGGACTCTATCCTGAGAGAGGTTTGGGGATCATGGTGGATAATCAGTTGAACTTGAGCTCCCCGCTGAACATGGAACACTGTGGCCAAAAGAGCTAATGCAATCCTGGGATGCTTAAATGGGGATCACAAATAGGAATAAAAAGGCTTACTTGATCTCTGTATTCGGCACTGGTGTGACCACTGCTGGAATCTGTGTCCAGTTCTGGTGCCCACAATTCAAGAAAGATGTTGACAAATTGAAGAGAGTTCAGAGAAGAGCCACAAGAATGATAAAGGATTAGAAAACGTGTTTTTTTTATAATGATGGACTCAAAATGCTCAAGCTATTTAGCTTAACAAAGAATAGGTTAAGGAGGGACTTGATTGGTCTCTAAGTACCTACATGGGAAACAAATATTTAATAATGGGCTCTTCAGCTTCCAGCCACTGGATCATGTTATACCTTTCTTTGCTAGACTGAAGCTAGACAACTTCAAACTGGAATCAAGGCATACATTTTTAACAGTGAGAGTAATTAGCCATTGGAATAACTTACCAAGGGTGAATTCTGCATCATTCACAATTTTTAAATCGAGATAGTAGCATTTTTTTCTAAAAGATGCCCTGGGAATTATTTTGGGGAAGTTCTACCACCTGTTTTATATGGGAGGTTAGACAAGATTTCTTCTGGCCTTAGAATCTATGAAGAACACAGACTGTACTCCATTCACATTCCTGTACTTCAAAGAGGACTTTGTTTTAGCCAACGGGGTGGTGGCTAAGGTGAGTGCTGAACATTACTCACTTCAGAGGCTGAGAATGCTGTTGTGAAATTAATAGTTATTTTTACCCTATGAAACAAGCAGCTTGGATCAGAAACAAACCGATATGATGTGATATTGCAGAGTACAAGTCAGTAATTGACTCTCCTACTTTGACTTTTAGTGGCTTAATTTGAGATGAAATCTCCACCAAGGATGGCAGTTGTTTTGAATATTGAAAATAGATAGGTCAGGTCTAGTCTAGCTGAGTTGGATGAAGTCTTTCCTGGTATGAACACTAAGCTATTGGACCTCTTTCAGGTTTTTACGCCATGTCCCTGTGGTGTATGTGGACTATCCTGGACCAGCTTCACTTACTCAGATATATGGAACATTCAATCGTGCAATGCTGAGGCTTATCCCATCGCTCCGCACATATGCAGAACCTCTTACTGCTGCCATGGTAGAGTTCTACACAATGTCACAGGTAACTTGCTCTACACACTATTCCCAACTTCTGCTGACTAGTCCTCTTTCCTTGTTACTTTGCCACTTTAGATAAATCCCAGTGCTTTTTGTTTTGGCCTGCTGCCTGCTTACCCTGTTTTTATTAGCAGTTGTGAGATGGGGGCATGAGAAGCATTGTTTGCATGTTAATTATTGTTGCATAACTTTATCCCATTAGATACTATACCCAGTGTTTTGAATTTTTAGGAAAGGTTCACCCAGGACACACAGCCACACTACATTTATTCACCTCGTGAAATGACTCGATGGGTGAGAGGTATCTCTGAAGCCTTAAGACTATTAGAAACCTTACCTGTTGAAGGCCTTATTAGGATTTGGGCACACGAAGCCTTGCGTCTCTTCCAAGACAGGTAAAGAAACTATGGAAATAGTATTAAAAGTACAAATTGTAGAAATGAACAAAAGTTTAAGTTCATAAAATAAGTGCCACCTACAAAGGCTTATACACATAACCTAAATATGAAGAATAATACCTTTGTGGATTTGAAATCTAGTTCTCTAAGCTCAGGGTAAGAGCAGTGTCTGTTGGATTGCTAAGTAGTTCCAAGTAGATAGAACTGACCTATATGTACAATAGTATTACCCTTTGCCTTAACTTGCTATTTATAGTACTTGGTGTGTCCTTCACATGTATCTGTTTTTAATAGGTGTTGCATGCTTGCTTGTAACTGTGTCTCTCTCTAACTAGACTTGTGGAAGATGAGGAGAGACGTTGGACTGATGAAAACATTGATATGGTAGCTCTGAAACATTTCCCCAACATAGACAAAGAGAAAGCTATGAGCAGACCCATCTTGTACAGCAATTGGCTGTCAAAGGTAAAGAGGGATATCTCAATAGAAGCCTTGATATTGGCAGTTGCAGACACAAAGTATCAGAATAAGAGAGTGAATCTTTGCCAACCACTTCTCTTAGGCAGCGCTTCTTCTAGCATACTAAGCACAGTCCATGATGTGATGGAATTTACCTTTGACAATAAGGATTGCTAACCATTTGGAGTTGGTAAGCAAACACATTTGATGCGGCATGGCATGATGGGTATCCAGCACATAGCAGAACCTGTCCGGGTACCAAGGGAGTAGAACTGTGAATTAGAAGGCAGAGCATATACCCAAACAGGAACTCATCTAGAATATTGAGGGTAACAATTGCAGAAAGTATCTTGGGGTCTTGGACTAGTGCAGTTAGAAGATGTAGGTTGTCTCTTTGGCTTGTTTAACAAATAAGCCAATGGTGTCCGTAACCACACTGGCTAACTAATGACTCAAAGGAGAAGTGCCACCCACTGAGTCACAAGCTTCATTTCCTAGCATCCTGGTTTTCCCTTGGTCTCCCAAGTGATGTTAGTCAGATCATTGCATAACTTGATCTGAGGTATGACCCAAGGTGGTATGATTGTGGAGTACAAGCATACTCAATCTTGTATCTGGCTATATGCTTTCAGAACAATAAATGCCATAGTTGTCTCATAACGAACAATAATGTCTGATCAATAAACTGTTCGTGGCCTTAGATTTTCTTCTGCTCCCCCCCGCCCCAATCCTTTATATGGCTTCAACTGTTGCAGTTGACTTCAAGAAACAATTGTGTAATGCTAATATGTGATTGTAAAGCTCGTCGCTCTGAATGTTTTAGGGTTTGCTTTTCAACGTCCAAGCAGGTATTCATAAATCTACTTCTGTGCCTGCTGGCTAAATGTGCTCCTGTCTGTTTAGACTTATGAAAATGCACTTAACATACATGCACCCAGTGTATTAGGTAACATACCTCAAACAAGTTGAGCCATATGTGTATTCAAATCAGGAATTTGCAGTGATGGTAAAAGTGCCAAGGAGCACAAATACCTATCTACCTGGGAATTTTCTGGCACTTATGGAATATACTGACTTATATTGCCTCTGAAAGTAAGCAGTAGATCATTTTAAATGCCTTACGTTACAGTGGCTCTGCAGACATGATGCATTTTCTATTTGTGCATTGATTTAAATGCAGCATCTGAGCTGTTGTGCAAACTAGTTTTTTCAACTTAAAGTGAAAGTCTGAACTATGCTGCTAAGAGGCACAGCACAGAACTCCTAGCCAGGGGGGGAGTGGGGTGAGGTGGGGGGAACTTAAGGTAGCTTTGAGCCTTAATGGGTTGTCTAAATTGTGCAAGCCAGTTCCCAGGTGCCTGGAGAAATTCTGGGCAGCACTGCTGCCATGGCATGTGACATTATAGGCCCTGCCTGTGGCACATGCTACATCAGAGTCTGAGGGGTTCCCTGTGGCTGTCATCCTCAATTCTTGAGTTGGGAATTCGTGTCACTCCAGCCCCTTTATCCAGCACAGAGGGGTCAGCAGGGTTAGAATCTCTCCCTTAGTCTTAAATTCTAGTCTTAGATCTTTTGCTTACATATTGGCCTCCTTATTCTAGGATTATATCCCAGTGGATCAGGAAGAGCTGAGAGACTATGTAAAAGCCAGGCTGAAAGTGTTTTATGAAGAAGAACTTGATGTGCCACTAGTGCTGTTCAATGAAGTTTTGGATCATGTGCTAAGAATTGACCGGTAAGCTGAATTTCCAACTTCTGGGTTTGTCTAGTTTGAATTGTAAAACAAATCTGTATTCAGACTAGTCCAGAATGGCACACCAGTTTATACTGGTGTTCTACTTGGGAGAGGCATTCTGTAAAGGGAGCACTGCAAGGTTGGAATTGTAGCAGACTGAGAAATATTGCCAATAGTCACTTCAGTGTGCCCCCGAACCAGTCACAGTACTAAAAAAAAAAACCAGGTTAAGTTTGCAAGGAAAGGAGGTTTAGAAATGTTGTGGCTAATTCACAATTTATCAAGCAGTAAACTTACTTGAAGTACCAATCTCTTTCAGAATCTTCCGCCAGCCTCAGGGTCACTTGCTTCTCATTGGAGTTAGTGGAACAGGGAAAACTACTCTCTCACGATTTGTGGCTTGGATGAATGGTTTAAGTGTTTACCAAATAAAGGTTGGTTTAGTTCTATCACTCAACAAAAAAATTGACTGTTAAAGCTTGCAGTTGTCTTGCAGATATTCTATCTTTGGTAAGATAAATGTATAAAGATAAGTCATTGTGTGGGACGATAAGGGCTAAAAAAAGATCAGTAACTATTGCTAAATCTTTATAGGTTCATAGAAAATACACAGGTGAAGACTTTGATGAAGATCTGAGAACGGTCTTCAGACGCTCTGGCTGCAAGAATGAGAAAATAGCATTTATAATGGATGAGTCAAATGTACTGGATTCTGGATTCTTGGAAAAAATGAATAATCTTCTGGCCAATGGAGAGGTAACTTGAGTAAATCTGTGTAAAGTAGCAGTTATGCAGGGAAAATCAAGCCTTTAAGAAAAATATACTTATTTCCTGGATTAGGTTCCTGGTCTCTTTGAAGGAGATGAATATGCCACCCTTATGACTCAATGTAAAGAGGGAGCACAGAAAGAAGGTTTAATGCTAGATTCACATGAAGAACTGTACAAATGGTTCACCAGTCAAGTTATTCACAATCTCCATGTTGTGTTCACCATGAACCCATCTTCTGAGGGCCTGAAGGACAGAGCAGCTACTTCTCCATCTCTCTTCAACAGGTAACTTACTTACTTTGTTGTAGGTTAGCTCCCAGAGTATCTTAACACTTCAGGTCTGTCTTTTTTTAATTAAGAATATTGTTAATACCCTCTTGAAAAAAGAAATTTTGGAAGTTGTAATACGTCTTGTCCTGTCTGCAGGTGTGTCTTGAACTGGTTCGGAGACTGGTCAACTGAAGCACTGTACGAAGTTGGCAAAGAGTTTACAAGCAAAATGGATCTTGAGAAGCCAAACTACATTGTGCCAGACTATATGCCAGTTGTGTATGAGAAGTTACCACAACCGCCATCACATAGGGAAGCTATTGTAAATAGTTGTGTATTTGTTCATCAGACCCTTCATCAGGTGTGTTCTGCCATGCTACTCAGATCTCTAATGTCATGTTCTAGTGGACTGACGCAAGTTCAGTACAACAGTGTTGCTGCTGTGACGGTTTTGAGTTTAAAAAAATCTAGATATTATATAATCCTAATCTTTTATATATACTAACTTTTGACAAAATCTTTTTCCTTTGGGAAGGCTAACGCTCGTCTAGCAAAATGGGGAGGCAGAACTATGGCCATCACACCACGTCACTATTTGGACTTCATCAACCATTATGTCAACTTGTTCAATGAGAAAAGGAGTGAGCTGGAGGAACAGCAGATGCATTTGAATGTTGGCCTTAGAAAGATCAAGGAAACTGTTGACCAGGTACATACCTTTAAACTTTGCTTTTTAATATAAAATTAGAGCTATTAAAACACTTTAAAACTGAGTTTAGTCTGTACAGACTCTAATCTTACCATTCATGTCAGGTGGAAGAACTGCGTAGGGACTTGAGAATAAAGAGCCAGGAGTTGGAAGTAAAGAATGCAGCAGCTAATGACAAGCTGAAAAAAATGGTGAAGCATCAGCAAGAAGCTGAGAAGAAAAAGGTGAAATCAAAGCTTTCTTTACCTTTTGCACATGTACAGTATATTTAGAAATAATATCTTAAAGGTCGCACAATCTTTCTCTTAGGTTATGAGCCAAGACATTCAAGAGAAGCTGCACGAACAGCAAGCAGTAATTGCAGATAAGCAAATGAGTGTGAAGGAGGAGCTAGACAAAGTCGAGCCTGCTGTCATTGATGCTCAGAATGGTAAGTCAACACTGACAAATAACTACAGCATGCCATCCTTTAGGGGTTTGGGGCTGATCCAAAGGCTCTTGAAGTCAGTGGGAGTGCTTCCATTTGCTTCAGTGAACTTTGGGTTCATCCCTTTATCAGCAGTATCTTAATCTTTAGTGTGGCAGCAGTAGAAAGGAAAATAGTTCACTAGCACTACTGAGCTTCCAAACTTCCAATTATTGCTACTGTAGACTTGCATTCTAAGCAGTATTTTTATTAAACTTTGCGCAATAAACTGTCTTAATGGTTCACTGTTTTTTGCCAAGCTTTGCTAGATTTACTTACTATCTTTCAGTATACCAGGGTACATTAGAATTGGAACTCCTGAAACAGGAGTAGGTCAACAAACGCTAGGAAATTTCTGGTATGCAGTAATATGGTCCACATAGTCAGTTAGTCTACAGCACGCTAGCTTGCTGTGCTCTTAGACACCAGCTTGTTGCTCACTGTTTTCTAGACAAACCCCTAACGTGTTCTGTTTCTGCTGCTGCTGCCTCTTAAGAGATAGCAGTGTCCAGTTCATGGAATTAGTGATTTAATAAACGCTACATAAGTATCGTGAATGGAAATACTACCTACAACTTAGTTACTCAAGACTTGGTTACAATGGCTTATCAGTGGGTTGCATAAGAGGAGGAAGGACTTCTAACTCACTATTTGCCTAGGTATACGGCCTCTCGCTGTAGAGGCACAGCCTTGTTTTTAGGCTCCTGTGAACTCAACATAGCTGCCACGTGCAAACTCTTGCTCTTGTAGTGGTACTTGGAGGCCTCTGATAGTTCAGCTTGCTCTCTCTCACATGAGCATACTGGTGGAGAGTTTTCAAAATGTGGAAACCATTTGGTTTTTACAAGAGAGGTTTAATTCATTTTAGATGTTACCTGAAGCTTAAAAATCTCTCAACAATGTCAATGAAGATTTGCTAATTCCTGTCCTTACTGTTTTGCTGTCTTTTCTTCCTTTTTCTCCCCTATCAATACTCTTCCTTTCTCCTGCTCGATCTGGCTTGACCACTGTGATTAACTGTAAAATCAATAAAGCAGCAGCAACTGGTAGAGGTCCGTTCTATGGCCAACCCACCTGGAGCAGTGAAGCTAGCACTAGAGTCCATCTGTCTACTATTGGGTGAAAGTACAACTGACTGGAAACAGATACGTTCCATCATTATGAGGGAAAACTTCATTCCAACTATTGTAAACTTTTCTGCTGAGGAGATCAGGTGAATAACTGCAGGTACCGAGCTATTGCTGGGAATATAAATAAATTGTTCACAAGATTTTCACAATAGAAATCTTACTAGTAGTCACAATTGGTGATGTTAGGGTTTGGTTTCTACCTCACAAAAAGCAGAATTCATCTCGTGTGTGTGCAGAATCTCCACCTTTTATGCAGAGAACAAAATATCAAACTCTGTCATATATTCATGAAGATGATGATCTATCAGGGAGAAGATGTGCATCTCAGAGCTAAATTTTGCTCTTAAAATAAATTTTAAAGTATAGTCTGAGTAGCACATACTGCCATCAGAGCACTGGAGTATAGACTATTCCCAGTAATTGAACTTAAATTTCTTTCATTATTTCCCAGCAGTAGCCTTAAATCCCTGATTGTTGCATGCTGAATCCCTTTTTCATCCCCTTAATAGCTGTGAGCTCTATAAGGAAGCAGCATCTTGTTGAAGTAAGAGCAATGGCCAACCCTCCTGCTGCAGTAAAACTGGCTTTATAATCAATCTCTCTCTTGTTGGGTGAGGAGACAAATGACTAGAGAAAGACAGACCAATTATTCTCAGAGATAATTTCATCAGCAGCATTGTCAACTTTAATACTGAAGATCTAAGGCAGTGGTTCTCAAACTTTTGTACTGGTGACCCCTTTCACATAGCAAGCCTCTGAGTGTGACACCCCTCCCCCCCCCCCCCATAATTTAAAAAACTTTTTTATATTTAACACCATTATAAAAGCTGGAGGCAAAGCAGGGTTTGGGGTGGAGGTTGATAGCTTGTGACACCCCATGTAATAACCTTGCGACCCCCTAAGGGGTCCCGACCCCCAGTTTGAGAACCACTGATAAGGTATTGGTTTTAGTTTATCTACTGTAGTAAAGGGGCAACTTCCTCTCAGTAACTCTGCGCTGAGAGATTCAGCACTTGCACACATGCTGTGTCAAACATAACTCTTCTTTTGCAGTGATTCCATCCGGGAAAAGATGAAGAAGAATTATATGTCAAATCCAAGTTACAATTATGAAATCGTAAACCGAGCATCCTTAGCATGTGGTCCCATGGTAAAATGGGCAATTGCACAGGTAACTCATCTTCAGTAGATGCGCCAATGTAGAATGCTTCAGTGTTGTGGGAAATCTAACACCTAGTGATAAGTGCAAGTTCTAAGGTGCTGGAAATATGCAAGGACTCAGAATTGGCAGACTTCCATCACTCAAAGATCTGTGGCATCTTGTCTAGCTTGCTATTGTAGAGGTAAAAACAGAAATTGGTCTCAAGTGAACATGCAGAGTAAGGTGCTGAATGTTAGATGGGGGAGGGATAGCTCAGTGGTTTGAGCATTGGCCTGTTAAACCCAGGGTTGTGAGTTCAATCCTTGAGGGGGCCACTTAGGGATCTGGGGCAAAAACAGTACTTGGTCCTGCTAGTGAAGGGAGGGGGCTGGACTTGATGACCTTTCAAGGTCCCTTCCAGTTCTAGGAGATAGGATATCTCCATTAATTTTATTTATTTATTTCTTGAATACTCTGTTAACTGTTCTGTGATTAACAGGATCCTGTAGTACATTTCATAAGAACATGTATATAATGATTGCAACCCTACAACTTACTTTTTCAAAAGACAATTGAAAATCACTGTTTTAATAATAGTGACTAATGGCTGGTCTTTTTGCTCTGTAGCCAGGTTTGTGTACGCACAGACCAGATTTTGTTGCCTTGTTTGATCTCGTTTCCCCCACCTGACAAGGGTGGGGAATGTTGTAGAGCAGTGTGATCATGTCTTATTGAGGGGAGGGCATCTAGCTCTGAAGTAATGTAAATGGCAAGCACAGATGGCATCTCATCCAGCCCTATTCAAAGCCAAGGTTGGTTATTTGTGGGTGTAGGCTTTGGCTGAGGGTTTCCGGGTGGGATTTTAGAAGCTTGAGTAGAGTGCTATTATGGGAAAACTGGAGGGCTTCTTCAGTGGGGGCAGGGGCAGGCTAATCCCAGTGTGCAGGGAAAAGGATACACTAATTTGGTACTTACCCCATAGGATAAGCTTCCCTCTTCTAGCCTTCCAGACTCATTGCAGGATCTCCCCTGCCTTCATCCTACACTCCCTGAAAGAGAGCTCTGGCATCATGGGCAATTGTCTCTGCACTGCACGATTGAATTTGAAATTTGATTGAAATCTGGAGGCTTCTCAAAGAACATCATTCTCGCTTCAGTGAGATGAATAGTGCAGTTCACACCTCTTGGCTGTTTCAGGCCACCTGCAGACTCAAAATAGTGAATCAGTTTAAGTAGAAGACTAGAAACTTAACCTTTTTAAAATGAAAGTCTGAATACCTAAAATCCTGAGGGGTGCCCTCAATCCATAAAAAAATTATGCTTGCTGACTTGCATGGTCCCAAGTCACGTGGTAAGTTCCATTCTAGAAAGTATCTAGAACTGACTGTTCACATGTTTCACAGCTGAATTATGCTGATATGTTGAAGCGAGTAGAACCCCTCCGCAATGAACTACAGAAACTGGAGGATGATGCCAAAGACAATCAACAGAAAGCTAATGAGGTAGAACAGATGATTCGTGATCTCGAGGCCAGTATTGCTCGCTACAAGGAAGAGTATGCAGTGCTGATTTCGGAGGCTCAAGCAATTAAGGCGGACCTGGCTGCAGTTGAAGCAAAAGTGAGAATACTCAATGTACCATTTTGTCCATTTTACTGACTTTTCTTTAATGTTTCAGGGGGTGGGAATAGTGGCTTTCAAACATTCTGTATACCTTTCTAACACAGAATGCTTTAATGGCCTCTCTACACAACAGTTTGCCTTTCAATATGTTTCCTCCTTTGGACTTCTTACAAAGAGCTTTGCTGACCATTGATAAACAGACCAGAGTGAGGATTGCTCTTCCAGTCACTGCCTCATGCTGGGCACCCAATTAAATTGGCAATCTGTCTGATCAGGACTAGGCTAGCAGGTGGGATGTTACTCAACCAAGGAAAGCTAGCATAGGTAAAGCAAAGCCAGTCCTCTTTCACAAGCACAAAATTCACCCATTAAAATGATCAATTCTGTAAGTCTCAAATGTGTTTCAGAGGAATTGTGATTACTTAATGTTTTTAATAGAGTTGAGTGTCTGCCTTTTCTCATATTTTAAAACTATCTTGCAGGGTAACTGCTATATTAATGTTCTCTTCAGACAAGACTAGTGAAGTCAGGTTAAACGGTCCATACAAATGTCCTCTTATTTTTTGGTTCCTTAAGCTGCACTGATGGAATCATAAAAATGTAGGGCTGAAAGTGAACTCGAGTCCAGCCCCCTTTGCTGCAGCAGGGTAAAATAAACCTCCTTTATCCTTGACAGGTGTCTGTCCAATCTGTTTTTTTTTTTTAAATGTCCAATAATGGGAATTCCACAACCTCCCTTGGAAGACTATTCCGGAGCTTAACTACTTATAGTTGGAAAGTTTTTTTCCTCATATCTAATCTATATTTCCCTTGCTGCAGATTAAGCCCCTTGCTTCTCAACCTACCTTAAGTGGACACGGAGAACAATTGATCAGTCCTCTTTAGAACAGCCCTTAACATATTGGAAGACTTTCACCGTGGTTGTCTTTTTCTCGAGGCCAAACATGCCCAGTTTTTTAACCTTTTCTCATAAGACAGGTTTTCTAAACATTTAATCATTTTTGTTGTCCTTCTCTGGAAATTCTCCAACCTGTCCACATTTTTCCTAAAGTGTGATATCCAGAACTGGACACAGTAATCCAGCTGAGCCATGATTGCTGTATAGACTGGGACCAGTACCTCCCAGGTCTGTCTTACAACACTCCTGTTAATACGTTCCAGAATATTAACCTTTTTTGCAGCTGCACCACATTGATCACTCATATTCAATTTGTGATCCGATATAACCCCCAGATCCTCTTCAGCCTAGCCACCTAGATCCTAGCCCAGGGGTGGCCAACCTGTGGCTCTGGAGCCCCATGCGGCTCTTCAGAAGTTAATGAGGCTCCTTGTATTGGCACTGACTCCAGGGCTGGAGCTACAGGCACCAACTTTCCAATGTGCCGGGGAGTGCTCACTGCTCAACACCTGGCTCTGCCCCAGGCCCTGCCCCCACTCCACCCCTTCCCGCCCCCTCCCCTGAGTCTGTCGTGCCCTCGCTCCTCCCTCTCCTGCCCAGAGCCTTCTGCACGCCACGAAACAGCTGATCGGGAGGTGCAGGGAGGTGCTGATCCGCAGGGCTGCCTGTGGGCAGTAGGAGCGGAGGGTGGGAGTGGGGAGCTCATGGTAGGCTGCTGACATATTACTGTGGCCCTTTGGCAATGTACATTGGTAAATTTTGGCTCCTTCTCAGGCTCAGGTTGGCCACCCCTGTCCTAGCAGTTATTCCCTGTTCTGTAGTTTGGCATTTATTCTTTTTTCCCCTTCCTGAATTTCTCTTGCGGAATTCAGATCAGTTCTCCAATTTGTCAAGGTTGTTTTGCATTCTAATCCTGTTTTCCAAAATGTTTGCAATCCTTCTGTCCCTTTCCACTACCAGAACCATAAAATTCATAGCCCAAGAATACTAACAACCAAACTTCCAGAGTTGTGCATGCACTCATAGTTGTTTTCTGGACATACGTAATTCTGAAAATTTGGGTCAAAAGTCTGGTGTGTTGGGCACACTTGTCTGTCCGTATAGGTTGCAAATGCGATAATTATGGGAGCCTTCATTTTGAATAAAGATGTATATTATATTGACCATTCCTTAATTTCTAGGTAAACCGTAGCACTGCACTCTTGAAGAATCTGTCTGCTGAACGTGAAAGATGGGAGAAGACAAGTGAAACCTTCAAGAACCAGATGTCCACTATTGCAGGAGACTGTTTGCTTTCAGGAGCTTTTATTGCTTATGCTGGGTACTTTGACCAGCAAATGCGACAGAACTTGTTCACTACATGGTCCCATCACTTGCAGCAAGCAAATATCCAGGTAAAGATTGCTCCACAATTACTAATGTCATGACTACCACAAGTGTTAACATTGATTGTAATGAGTTACTGCTTCGTAAAGGGGAAATCACAAGGTGTTCACAAAAGATAAAGATCAAATTTGATCAAACTTTGGGCTCTCTTTGGGCAAGTAATAATAATGTTTTACTCTTCAGTTCCGTACAGACATTGCAAGGACAGAATACCTTTCCAATGCAGATGAGCGTCTTTGCTGGCAAGCAAGTTCTCTACCTGCAGATGACCTGTGCACAGAAAACGCTATCATGCTTAAGCGGTTTAATAGGTACTTCATTTGTACAATAAGTACAGAATGTATGGGGATAAACTTAACAATGGATCGGTGCACAGAACTCCCACTGAAGTCAATGGAATTTGCACACACCTATCAAAAGGAAAACTTGATTGAAACTTTATCATCCAACTGAATATAAATGCTTTGAGAGAATTTTGAGCACTGTCTGATATCTACATAGTACCCATGATAGCAAATTAAATGCAAGTCTTAATAATCTCCTTCCCTTGTGTTTATAAGCAAAACAACTTGCATCTTTAGTATACTTCACTATTATACCAACTTAGCTCAAACTGAAACTGTTAGTCTGTATTGACTGAAACAGTAAAGTACCCTTTTGATAATTGTATCTAGTTAGATCATTTAACTATGTTATCGTCTCCAAACAATGACCCTCCATATTTCATTACATGAGCCCACATTCTCCAAAAAAGATTTAGAATATTAACTCAACCTGAGTGGACTAAATGGCTTCTATCAGAAGCCTTAAATCAGTCATATGATGGAAATATTTTTTCACTAATTTAGGTATCCACTGATCATTGATCCTTCTGGACAAGCCACAGAGTTCATTATGAATGAATACAAGGACCGTAAGATCACTCGTACTAGCTTTTTGGATGATGCTTTCAGAAAGAACTTGGAAAGTGCACTGAGATTTGGTAACCCTCTACTCGTCCAGGTTAGTCTCTTGTTTACATAAATTAAAAAAAAATTGTGGTTACATTTCCTAGGAAGTACACTTGAAATCTTCACTTGCTGGGGCTTAGTTTTATTGCTGCTCTGGCAATTCTGTGCTTTTCAGGTAATGAATAAATGAAGGTCCTTGTATAGACAATGGATCAAAATGCAGCAAAGATCATCATCTTCCTTACCTGTTGTTCTAACCACATTGCTCCCTCTCTCCTACCATATCAAGGTCAAATTTAAAGGCCTTTCTCAGGTGTGCCCCTTGCTACTTAATAATTTGTCACCTATTGTGCCCCTTCTGATTTGACTATCCAGTCTGCTTGTCCACTCCCCTTCAGTGACTCTTTACACACCATCCCTTCTGCACAGAACAGTCCCTACACTGATCTATAATGCTCCTGGTTTTAAAAAAAAATCTTTAAAACTCACTTCTATGGATGTCTGCAGTAAATAGTCAGTGTTGAAATAGCTAGGTTGGAGCAGATGGGAGAAGCCAGATTGGCTTGATGAAAATACAAAAAGGCAAATGTATGCATGTATATAAAAAAGTACATCTGTTTAGAGATGGCACCCATTTCTGTAGTATCCAAGCACCTCACAACACCTTAAGACAGGGGTGGCCAACCTGTGGCTCCGGAGCCACATGCGGCTCTTCAGAAGTTAATATGTGGCTCCTTGTATAGGCACTGACTCCGGGGCTGGAGCTATAGGCACCAATGTGCCAGGGGGTGCTTGCTGCTCAATCCCTGCCCCCACTCCGCCCAGTGCCCCCCACTCTTCCCACCCCACACAGCTGATCGGGAGGTACGCGGAGGGAGGGAGAGGTACTGATCGGCGGGGCTGCCGGTGGATGGGAGAACTGATGGGGGGCTGCTGACATATTACTGTGGCTCTTTGGAAATGTACATTGATAAATTCTGGCTCCTTCTCAGGCTCAGGTTGGCCACCCATGCCTTAAGAAATAAGGATATATTATCCCTATAGCACAGATGGTAAAACTGAGGCACAGATTAATTTACTTTCCAAAGGTGTCGGTTTCCATCACCCTCTTATTGTTTGTGCTTTTAAACTGTGAGGTGCAGGATTCAGGTAACAATGGTAGCATCACTTCTGATTGGGGCCTCTTGGTGCTAGTTATAATCTGATATCTACACAATGAAAACAGCAAAATTAAGAAATCCAAACAGGAAACGTTACTTAGGTATGTAATCCATCATCCAAAATGTCTGAATAGTACTTGATCCTAAAAATTAGCTTATTGTATGGGGAATAACATTGGACTAACAGTAGTTACACACATGACCAAATCTTCATGTGGATTACTACTAGACCTTTTCCCAAGCAGGGGAAAAAATGTGATCCAGATCAAACTTTATTCAAGCTTGTTCCAGCACAGGTCCATTTTAGCTACTGTTCTGTTCATTACTCTCACAATTGTACTGCTGTTTAGGATGTGGAGAGCTATGACCCAATTCTGAATCCTGTGCTGAATCATGAAGTCCGGAGAACTGGAGGTCGAGTGCTTATTACCCTGGGAGACCAAGATATTGACTTGTCACCGTCCTTTGTCATCTTCCTCTCCACCAGAGATCCAACAGTAAGGAACACTTACAAATTTGTTTAGCTTTCAGCAGGGCAGAACACATATTAAGCCAACAAAATGATCCTGATATTTATTTTGATAGGTTGAATTTCCCCCGGATCTCTGCTCTCGTGTTACGTTTGTCAATTTCACAATAACTCGCAGTAGTTTACAGAGTCAGTGTCTGAATGAGGTCCTGAAAGCTGAAAGACCAGATGTTGATGAAAAACGTTCTGACCTCCTTAAACTTCAAGGTAGGTTTCTTAAAAATCAAACCATGAAAATGAGTCATAATTAGTCAGAGAATAAACTTGACAGTCACTCTCTTACTAATATACAGCTATTCTTTTTATAGTTGAGGAATGTGATATTTTGTAACACTATGTTTCAAAGCATACAGGAGATATGACAAACGATATAGAATAAAATGTTTGTATAGGTTATATGCAATGCGTGTGATCACAGATCTCAATTTGTTTTACTTAAGGTGAATTCCAACTGCGTTTGCGGCAGTTAGAAAAATCTCTGCTACAAGCTCTCAATGAAGTGAAGGGACATATTTTAGATGACACAAACATAACTACTTTAGAGACCCTAAAGAAGGAAGCAGCAGAGGTCACCAGAAAAGTAGAAGAGACTGATATTGTCATGCAAGAGGTGGAGACTGTATCTCAGCAGTATTTGCCACTTTCTA